AATTTTGCTTTAAGTTTGTATATTTCGTTTTCTGTGAATTTTATAATATTTATTGTATCGGCTATTAATATTTTTTATCGTATCCAATTTAAAATATTTTAAGATATAGTTAAGAAATTTTCTATTTAAATTTAAAGAAAAGAAAGTAATATGATTCATTTTGAAATTTAAAAAAAGTTGGTGTTAAATTGTCACTTTTACATCTCAGCAAAAAAGTACGTCTGTTCTTTTGATTAGCAAGTTTGTAGTTGAATTTTTCTAAAATTTTCATTAAGCTGACAACTTCTTTGTTATAGATGGATTCAATTGACTGGTAGTTTAGCAGATTTTCACCCATACTGCACTTATATTCTTGGAAAATTTATTATTCTTGAACCTTGTAATTAAATATTCTGTTTTTTTTTAATTTTCTTGGGATTTAGGTTCGGGAAAACTCTGATTAAGTTTTCATTTGGGTTTTCATATTTTTATTTCATTTTAAAGGGAAATAACCAAACGTTTCAGCCAACATTACAGCCTTCATCAGTGTAGCTAGTGTCAACAAAATGCCAATTTCAAATTAACTTATCACAAAAACTCTGTTAAATTTTTTTTTTTTTTTTTTTTTTGGAAACACATTATTTATAGGAAATCACGAATACGTTTAGTTAAAATTAAGAGTCAAGTAATTTATGTATAAAACCTTATAACAAAGTGTGACCAAAGTTTATGTAATAAACACAATAATTATTTACAAAAATTATTTTTTTTTTTTTCCATACTTATTTACCCGCTATTGAAAGTTAAAAATAAAATCTTACAACACTCACCAAAATCAAAAAAACAGTGTCGAACATAATCCAAAAATTACATAGAACAAATTCACAAACACACACAGCATAATGTTTACTATAATCAACAAAACTAATATCAGCTTGTCAGAGGATGGCTACACATTTTTTTTTAAAAGATTATTCGTAAGACCAAAACGATCCACGTATGTATATTGACTACGGCTGAAATCGCACTAAACCTAATTTATATTTCATTGGCCAATAAACTGTAAAAACACTATTCTTTTTATGGTTTCCAAAATATTACTTCTTATATATACATGATTTTTTTTATATACAACAGGGAGAAAACAATAAACAAATTAATTTAACAAACTAAAATACACTTGATTCAAGTTTTTTATATCAGTTCTATCATTCATAGATTCAGGTTCTTTTTTAATATAGATCTTTTCCAAAAATTCTCTTTTATGCTTGTTGTATTCAGTGGCTAAAATTTTGGTCTCCTGATAATTCATTTTCCGGATAGCTATTCTTCATTAAAACTTCTTTGATTTTTTTTAAGGCATTTAATCTGTATGGAGGATCACTAAGAATTAAAGCTCGGTCTGTTTGACCAATAACGTTTGGGATTTCTTTTGGGATATGTGGTATACTGATATGAGTTTTAATAAATAGGTATCATAAAATCTAGAAAAGAAACTATTAGAAAATCCAACAACAAATAAACTCAAATATTGAAGTAGCAATAAAAATAAAAAGACAACGGATATCTACCACTCCCTATATAAGAACAATTCTGTAGAGGATTCCAAAGTTTACTCAAAAAAAGCAATATTTCCGTATGTCACAAGGGATATAACACGTTAAAAAAGCATTTTAGTCGCCTAAAGAGTAAAAATAATACCTACTAATAAAAACTCATATAGCCTAAAGAGTAAAATACCTACTAATAAAAAACTCATATAGTATACCAAATTCCCTGTCAAGACTGCCCAAACGTCTACATTGGTCAAACAGCACAATATTTAGAAACCGGTTAAAAGGTCATAAGTATGACAAAAAAAAATAAAACTACTCTGACTAAACATGAAAGCACGACAAATCACAAAATGAATTATTAGGAGACCAAAATTTTAGCCACTGAATACAACAAGCATAAAAGAGAATTTTTGGAAAAGATCTATATTAAAAAAGAACCTGAATCTATGAATGATAGTACTGATATAAAAACTTGAATCAAGTGTATTTGAGTTTGTTGTTGTTAATTTTGTTTATTGTTTTTCTCCCTGTTGTATATAAAAAAATCATGTATATATCGGATAACAAGTAATCTTTTTGGAAACCATTCTTTGAATAGTTTTTTTACAGGCATTTAATTGGCCAATGAAATATAAATTAGGATTAAAGTGCGATTGTCAAAGCCGTAGTCAATATAGGATATGTGATCGTTTTGGTCTTACGAATAATCTTTTAAAAAAAAAAATGTAGCCATCCTCTAGAACAAGCTGATATAAACTTTGTTGAATATAGTAAACATTATGCTGTGTGTGTTTAGGAATTTGTTCTATGTAATTTTTGGATTATGTCTGAACACTGTTTTGATTTCCGTCTGCGTGTTGTAAAATTCTCATATCTTAAATCTTTGCCCAAACATCCTAGGTAAATAAGCTATGGAAAAAAATAAATATGACAAAAATGCTCTGACTGTGGTGAGTGTTGTAAAAGATTTTATTTTAACTTTCAATAGCGGGTAAATAAGTATGGAAAAAAAAAAATAATTTTGTAAACCAATTATTGTGTTTATTACATAAACTTTGTCACACTTTGCTACTTAAGGTTTTATACATAAATTACTTGACTCTTAATTTTAACTACGTATTCGTGATTTAATATAAATAATGTGTTTCTCAAAAAAAAAAAAAAAAAAACAATTTAACAGATTTTTGTCAAGTTAATTTGAAATTGGCATTTGTGTTATAGACCATATAAATCATGATGAAGGCTGTAATGTTGAAACCGCAAAACGTTTGGTTATTTCCTTTACGGCCAATGAAATAAAAATTATGAAAACCCATTCAGAAAACTTAATCAGAGTTTTCGATGAACCTTAATCCCAAGAAAATTAAAAAAAAAAAAACAGAATATTTAATTACAAGGTTCAATAATAATAAACTTGATCAAGAATATAAGTGCAGTATGGAGTGAAAATCTGCTAAATACCAGTCAATTGAATCCATCTATAACAAAGAAGTTGTCAGCTTAATGAAACATTTTAGAAAATTCAACTTCTAAACTTATAATCAAAAGAACATGACGTACTTTTTGCTGAGATGTAAAAGTGGACAATTTAACACTAACTTTTTTAAATTTAAAAGTGACAATTTAACACCAACTTTTTAAATTTCAAAATGAATCATATTACTTTTCTTTTTTAAATTTAAATAGAAAATTTCTTAACTATATCTTAAAATACTTTTAATTTGGACTACGATAAAAATATTAATAGCCGATACAATAATGTGTTTATCCAAAAAAAAATTCACAGAAAACGAAATATAACAAACTTTTGTGCAAAATTCGAACAAATAAATTCACCATATATATATGAACGATTTCTTACACTGATGAAGGCTGTAATGTCTATGAGAAACGTTTGAAGATAAAACAGAGGAACATTAGAAAAATAAACGTATTAACCCAAATGAAAACTTAATCAAATAATACCAAACACAATCAATGTGGAAAAAGAATTAAAAAAGAGAATATGTCAGATCACAAATATTCCTGACTAATAAATATAGCAAGTATATATATATAACATATATATATATATATATATATATATATATATATATATATATATATATATATATATATATATATATATATATATATATATATGTATGTTAATGGAAATTCTTGATTTGCTTTATCATCACCATTACAAATGCTTAATTCGACGCGAACGAAGTCGCTGGTACACGCAGTATATTTATAAAACGAAAGTCCGGTTCTACAGCGTGATCCGCCTTCCGGTTCCTTGCCGCCATTGCCTTCTGTCCATCCAGTCATCGGCTTGTAAATTGCGCAATGACATTGCCTTTGTTACCCCCTTTAACCATGTGTCTCGGGGTCTTCCTCGTTTTCTTTTTCCAGTTGGGATCCATTTTATTATATTCTTTGGTAGCCTTTCTTCTCCCATTCTGTTTACATGCTAATACCAGATTAATTGTTTTTTTTTGGATTTCTTCTATGATGGTTATCTCTTTCTTCGTTATTCTTCTTATTTCTTCATTTTCGCACTTTTTCAATTTTGATTTTTCTTGCCGATCTTTCTGAGGAAGTCCATTCAGTTGCTAAAAGCTTTCCTTCCATGGACTTGCTCATCTGCCATACTTCAGCGCCATAAGTAAGTGTGCTCTTAACTATAGTGTCACATATGCGGGTTTTTGTTGTGGTATTTATATTTTTTTGCCAAAGAATAGAATTTGGTGCCCCTGTAATGTTTCTGACTTTGTTGATTCTATTATTGATGGTATTGTCGCTTTTTTCATTATTATGTATGTTAGTACCTAGGTATGTGAATTCTGTACATGATTTTATTTTGTTGCCGTTTTCCATTTCTAGGTCTTGTCTTTTGTTGCCCACGCATAGATATTCCGTCTTTTTAAAATTTATTTAAACCCCATCTATCATATTCCTCATTTAATTTTCTAAACATGTACTCAATGTCATCTACATCTCGAACCAGTATTACTTGATCGTCGGCGTAGTGAATGGTATATATTGTTTTATTTTCGTGTGGTATGCCCATTCCACTACATTTTCTTCTCCATTGTTCCAATGTTGCATCTAAGTAAATATTGAATAAAATTGGAGATAGACCACATCCTTGTCGAAGGCCCTTACTTATATTAAATGATGTTGTGAGTTCGGCTCCAATTTTAACTCGTGCTAGCGGGTTCTTGTAGATTTCCTTTATTGCTTTTATTAGGGTAATATTTATTGGTGACCGGTCAAGTACGTGAAAAAGTTGTTTTATTGGGATATTCTTATATATATTATACGCTTTGGTTAGGTCTACAAAAATCATGTGTATCTCTCCACCTATAGCTAACACTTTCTCATTCAGTTGTGTTATGCAGAAAATATTATCTACCGTGGAGCGACCGACTCTGAAACCCGACTGCTCTTCTGTCTGGTACAAATCATAGTCATTTGTTATTAATGTGCTAAGTATTTTGCCATAGAGTCTATACAATGAACAGTTAACAGAAATACCTCTATAATTCTCACATATGTTAATTGCGCCTTTTTATGTATTTGAGTTATCCATCCTTCGTTCCATTCCTGTGGTATTTGTTGACCATTGATACAATTTTCAAAGAGTGTTTTAATGATATTGTGAAGTTTTGGTGTGCCACATTTTATTAATTCATTGGGGATTCCTCCTGGGCCGGCTGATCTTATATTTTTTAGTTGGGTAATTGCCGTTTTTAATTGATCTAATTCGATGTTAATTTTTTCACCTTCTAAATTAAATGGTAGTTCTTCTGGTTGTAATTTATATTCATCTCTGTGTTCATTTAACATTTTTTCGAAATATTCTTTCCAGCTATCTTTCGCAATTACATTAAGTTTTAGCTTGGTCTCCTTATTATTTTGAATGGAAGTTATGAATTTCCACGATTCTGATGTTCTTCTTCCTCCTATGTAGCTTTCTAACTCTTGGCATTGTTTTTCCCATTGGTTATTCTTCTCTTCCAAAATTATCTTCTTAAATTTTGCTCTTTGGTGTTTATAAGCTAAGTAATCCGCATCTTGTTTAGTTTGTAGCCATTTGAAGTACAATTTTTGTTTTTGGTTTTTCTGCTCCTGTAAGTTATTATTCCACCAAAATTTTTTGTTGTTGTTGCATGCTGCTTGTTCTCCCAATGCCTCCATAGCGGCTGCATTTATTGCCGATTTTATGTGTTCATATATCATTTCTGTCGTTTCATTTTCAAAATCATCTCTCAATTTTTGATCTAGTCTTTGTTGATATAATTTCTTAGTGCTTTAATCGTATAGACTGTTCAGATTATATTTAATTGTATTGGTCGAGCTAGTTTTTGTTGCTTCATTTATATTTTCTCTCTGTCTCCTATATGGCTTTCTTATCTCCCCTTTTACTAAATAATGATCACTTCCACACTCAGGACCTCTGCAAGCTCTAACATCATTAATTTTAAGATTAGTTTTTTGTGTCACTATGAGGTAGTCAATAATTGATTTTAGGTGTCTTGTTTCTTGCCTTCAAGTAAACTTGTGAATGTCCCTGTGAGTAAAGTATCCGTTCATGATCTTTAATTCGCGTTGCTCGCATAGATTAATTAAGCGTCGTCCATTTTCATTCTCTGTTTCTTCACCATGTCTACCAACCATATGATGGTTAAGTCTTCGTCCTACTCTGGCATTAAGATCTCCAATCAACACAATTTCTCTGGTACTTCCAATGTCTATGATTGTTTGATTTAGTAATTCCATATATTGATCTTTTAGAGCCACTTCTTCATCCTCGTTGGGTCCGTATGTTCCAATAATTGTCAGTTTATATCCAAGAAGGTTCAAGTTAGCCGTAAGGATTCTTTCATTTACAGGTGTCCAGTTAGTTATAAACTTTTTATATTTCGAGTGGATCAGCAATGAAATTCCTTTACAGGCCCGTTTTTCTTTTGGTACTCCGCTGTAAACATGGATATAATCTCCGACCTGTTCAATACCTTGTCCTTTCTTTTTTGTTTCACTCAAAGACGCAATGTCAATATTTAGTTTTTTTTTAGTTCTTTCACTACTTCTTCCAATTTTCCTCTGATACTTTGTGTATTCCATTCATACTTTGTGTATTCCAATTTTCATAGTCCTATTTCTTTGCGGTGGTCGTTTTCCAGTTGATCCGTTTGGGTTCCGAGGCGGTTTGCAAGGATTTTTAGCAGTTGGATGTTTTTTAAGGATGCCGGATAGCTAGCCCTGCGATCCAACCCCCTTCCAGGAGGACCGGGTAATTTTCTTTCAGGGTTTTCTTCCCTTATACTGCTTGTCTTACCAGACTATATAGATCAGTTGCCCCTTTGGAGGATTCATCTGCTCTTTCTGTAGATTTCTCAGCGGATGTGCTTTCCTTCTAACTTCCAGACCATTGAACCTTTTTGCCTGAGTCCTAGGCAGGAGCCCTTACAGAGTACTATCATCCGGGCCAGATGAAATCTGTTTTTTTAACGAGGTTATTACTCCTCCTCCTCCTCCTTTCTCATCTCTTGCTGATAAGACTCCAGGCTTGGGATTGGCGTAGCGGAGTTCCCATTACCATTAACATACAAACTGGATAAAATTTTCTCACATTTATGTCAGCATGAGAAAAAACAATATGACAATATTATTATATATCTCTCTCTCTCTGTCTTTATTCCTATAAAAGGAATGTAGTGGTCAGGTGATGTGTGAGGTTTGTCTCCATAATTCCCTGTCTTGTGCTTCATGTACAGGCGTGTGCAGTATTATTATATAACTTGGTAATATTTGAGGGGTAGTTTCATCTCGTTGGAATTTGACTTTCGAAAAATCCGTTTGCAAAATAAGCTTTTTACGTCAAGCAGTTTAAGCAGAATCGTGGTTAAGAAATTACCCAACTTTTTGGAACACCCTGTATAATTTAAAAAATTTCAAAATATGTAAAAAAACCAAATAAGTTATGCTTGTCCAAACGTTTTCCCGAAAGACTAACCGTTTTTTAAATAACAAATATTGTAATATTTGAGAGGCGTTTTCACCCTCTTCGAATTTGAGATTCGAGAAACCCCTCCTTATCGAACCTCTACACCCCACAGTCAATCCGTTTACCAAAAATCAGCTTTAAACGTCAAGCAGTTTAAGCAGAATCGTGATTACTCAATGGTCATATTTTATGAAACACCCTGTATAAATTTGTAAAAAATCTTAAAATATGTAAAACAACAAAATAAAATATCCGTGTTTAAGAGTTTTTCCGAAAAACTCACCGGTTTTTAAATAAAAAATATTTTAATATTTGAGGGATAGTTGCACCCCCTTAGAATTCGAGTTTCGAAAAATACCTTCTTATCGAACCTCTACACCCTAAAGTCAATCTGTTTTCCAAAAAGCAGCTTTTTACGTCAAGCCCTTTAAGCAGGATCGTGATTAATCAATGACCAGATTTTTCGAAACACACTGTATAGATTTTTAAAAAATCTTAAAATATGTAAAAAACAAAATAAAATATACGTGTTTAAGCGTTTTTTCGGAAACTTGACCGTTTTTTAAATACAAAATATTGTAATATTTGAGGGATGGTTTCACCCTCTTGGAACTGGAATTTCGAAAAATCCCTTTTTATCGAACCTCTACACCCTAGAATCAACCTGCATGCCAAAATTGAGCTTTTTACGTTGAGTGGTTTGAGCAGGATCGTGATTAATCAGTATGTCAGTCACTTAAGGATTTTATATATTAGTATAGATTATAATTATTTAAATAAAACTTTGAGGTTTTTATATACGCAAAAAATTACACATTTCGTAGTATTCCCTTCCCCCCTCCCCCCATATATTATAAAAATTACACAATTCTGTATAGTAATGGAAATGAAACCCAAGAGCAAGCGACAGATGTCAGTATTAGTCGGAAACTAATATGAATTAAAAACCTAGTTCAAGGAACTATAAGTAATGAAAACCTAGTTCAAACTAGAACTAGGTTCATCCAGAAGAACTGGACTTCCTACTTCCATAATACATAGTATTATTTAATATCCTTGCATTTATGTAAGGAATATTCTCTAGAACATTATCAAATTACATTGCTTTAAAAAATGCTAATTTTAGATATAAAAGAAAAATTCCTCAAAATCTGATAACCCTATATACATATTATGCCACAAAGGATCCTACAAGTACGTCATTTGCGGGGAAAAGATAAGAAAAAAGATTGAATCGAGATCGGTTCTTTTTATGGTTGGTTTTGCTTTTCAAAAGGTGGACGAGAACAGATAGGATAGATCTTGCAAAGACGCCAAGGGACATTTTGAAAATAGCTCTTTAAATTTCATTTGCATGTATCTGATACGAACCTGTACCTTTAAAATGGAAATTTGTCCAAGAAAATGGACAATAGAGGTATAAGATGAGATGTTTGTGTGTTTTAAATATAAAAAAGAGTAAATGTCTAGGTATGGTTTTCTTAGTTGAAAAATACTGATATTATTTAGATAGTACTGAGTAAAATAAAACAAATACCGTCGTAAAAAAATAACTTTTTAGAGAGCGACGCAGCCGGAGTGAACGCACCTTAAGAGTCCATTTTACTATTCCGAAAAAGTGGAAAAATAAGCGTTCGGCATTTTACGTAAAACTGGCTAGATATTTTTACACAAATGAAGAAAGAAATTAAAGATTAAGAATTATACTATATCCGTATTGTAGCACATTTTTAGACAACTTCTTTATTTTTAAGATTTTGATGGTCAAACATCAACAAAATATTCCTTATATTTGGACTAAATTTTCGCAAAAATAAAGATGTAATTTAAAATTCCGCAACAATACGGAAATAGATTGAAGTTTTGTGATAACAGTGATATATAATTTATATGGTTTTGTAACAAAGTGCTCGTTATTTTATAACAAATGCTGAATCTCTGCCAACCTTAATCAAGCCTTAAGCAAAGAACGTGTGTATGGAATCTTAGAATCTCGGGTATGGCTTAAATACGACAGCATCGGGCTAAGCCTTAGGCAGATTTGTGAAATATAATATATATTTCCTTCGGCCACACATCCGCTTTACCCGACTTTAAATCAAAAATGGACTTAGCAGGTTATCATGTTTCACTGACGATATACAGAAGTAAAAGAGTTTACTGAACTGGAAATAATTTATTTAATTATTATATAAACTATGAGTATTTATAGATTTGTAAATAAATTTTCTTAGCTAAAAAGGCATAAGATCTAATTAATACTTTTTTGAGATGGGTTACTTCATAAAAATATTATTTATATATAACTTTTTAACTTCAAGCTAATCAACAGTATTGTCATCCATATATTTCTTGAATACTTTATCCAGTAATACGTCATTAATGATTTCTTTGGCATTATAAGCCAGAATATAATCCAGATGATTGAAGTTTTCCTCTGGGGCTTTATACACCAGCTCTATATTTGGTAGAACTTTGACAAACTCGTCTATCATCTAAAAGAAAAAAAATAAGTGTTACTTGTTGGCCCATTTTAATTAAAAAAAAACATTTGTAACATGACGTTTTTCTTGTTATAATGTCTTCTACAGTTTTACAATACAATATTTTATTAGAAATTATTAGAAGAAAAACTACTAAACAATTTTTACAAGAACTAAGGTTGTGCTCAGTTTTAACATTTATTATACAGGATGGTCCGAACTGTATTCCGGAAACGTTGGCAGAACATTCGGCAGATAAAAATAAGTAAAAAGTTCTTCTAAATTTATGTCCAAAAATACTTAGTTTCGGAGATACAGGTTGTAGAAATTTCATTTTTATTTCGATTCGACTTTTATTTCAAATAACGTGTGAAGTAACGTCAATATTTGAATGAAAATTGGTGTCTGGTTGAGGTTTTGGACATGAAAAATTTGTTTTTGATGTCAATATGACTTCTATTTGTATAGGGGCCACCTACATGTGTTTTAACTGCTTTGATGAGTAATAACTTCTCATTCGTACCTGTATAAAACTACCGAGTGAAAAAATATACATTTTTGTGATTTTTTACGTAACAAATATCTCTTGGTAAAAATCGCTACGAGCAACCATTCGTAAGATATTTAGAATGAAAATAGTCAATATATGTTATTACTGACAAAAAATAAACATGTTAAGTAGATAGTTATTTGAGTGAAATGATAAACTTGGGAACTTTTTTTAAATTAATCATAAATTTTTATTCGAAAAAGTGATAAAACAATTTCTGTTGAACTTTTGGCACAAAAACATTTAACATTTATGATTTCAGTCTAATAACTATTAAGTTAACATGTTTAATTTATGTCAGTGATAACAGGTATTGATAATTTCGATTCCAAATATCTCAAGAACCATATATTACTCGTAGCAATTTTTACCAAGAGACTTTTTTGCATAAAAAAGTCGTAAATGTATATTTTTGTAATCAGTTGTTGTTTACAGGTACGGACAAAAAGTTATAACTTTTCAAACCAGTTAAAAAATATGTAGGTGGGGCTCTCTACAAGTAGGAGTCATATTGACATCAAAATCGAATTTCTCATATCAATAAAACCCCAGACACCAATTTTCATCCAAATATTGACATTACTTCAGAAATTATTTGGAAAAAATCGGAATAAAAATGAAACTTCAACACCCTGCATCTCCGAAACTAAGCATGTTATAGGACATATATTTATCCGAATTTTTTTACTAATTATTATCTGCAGAATATGATGCAGAAATTTCCGGAACATAGTGCAAACCACCCTGTATTGTTCATCATTATAACATTTATTTACCTTCGGGGTAGAAAAAGGATCGCTGTCCCCATAAAACAACCCTATTGGGACTTCAATATTTGACATATTGTACATAGGTGGTGTAGGACTATTGTATTTTTTCTGATTCATTTTTTTACCATAATCGTACTGTTTAAACTCTCCTAAAATATACAAAATGCACTTATACATAAAAATGAAGTAAACATTATAAAAATTAGTACTACCTGAAGCAATAACTTGTCCGTAATGCCACGCTTGTTTGGTAGATATAGAAGATGGAATAAATTCGATCAGCATTGGTAGTAAAGTCTGAAATAAGATTATAAATATGTTATAAACAAGATAGAAAAGTACCTGGTAAAATACTGAACAAAATTAAAAACTCTAATGTTTAAATTCCATATTTTTAATTTAATATACAGGATAAAAAGTAGTGCAGATACACAATTTTTTTGTGGATGATTCTACGGAGAAAAATAAGACAAAAAGTTTCTATAAACGTATGCCCTAAAATGCTTCCCGAAGTTACGACCCTTGGCAGGGTAAATAAAAATAATATATTTTGTTTATTTTTAAGAACATTGGTAAACCGTCTTTTTTGAAATCTGCGAATGCGAATCTGCGAATCTGCGAAATCTGCGAATGGCATAGTGTAAAATTCCGTAACAGCCCTGAAAGGTACTTTCCATTAGGGTAGAAGGTAGTACTGGTGGTACTTCTTCTATCCTTATAAATACAGTAATTTTAACAAATGACATGTAGGATATCGAATGTTTAAGAGGGGAATTAATCACCGCGACCTTACAGATCTCTATTGTGTATTCCCCTTTCTTGAGTTATAACGAGTTATAACTTATCATACAGTCTCAGGGCTTTAACAGAGGCCAGCTCTTCATCCTCGACATCAGCCGTACCAAAGTTCATGGCACGAATGGTCGTCGTCTCGGCGCACTCAGTGATAAGATGTTCTGGTGTTTCCCCATTTTCCCCACAGAATCTGCATTCGCCGTTGTTTCTCCGCTTCAGCCTACTGGGGTGTTCGTTGAGGACACAGTGTCCTGTTAGAAACCCCGTGGCAATCCGAGAAGATTGTTTTTACTTAACTCAAGGAAAACCTTTGATTTCTCTCGGTCGTAAGTTGTGAGGAACTTTTTCGAGTGTCTTAGACAGTTGGAGGACACCTATTCCAAATTACGGATGGAGTCTTTCAGATGCATCATGTTCCGCTTTCAGTTAGTTCCCGTTTAGAAAACAGAACGGTTCTGGTCCACTTAGTGGAATGTATATCTATCCCTTGGTGAGCAGGCACCTAGAGTAGGAGAACTTTATTTTCTTTGCCTAATTTATTGAGCTTCTCTAGGCATTCTTTGACCAACTTCGAATTGATGGTTACTGAGTTGATCGCCTTTAGTGCTGCTTGACTATCGGATAGGATGGCAATTTCCTGTTCTTGATAGTTCCTATCTAAGATAAATTGTACGCATCTTTCGATAGGATAACAAATGACATAAAACTAGGACTTTTTGACGTAAACAGGTGCTCTTCATTTAGTTCGAAATAGTGAACGGTTTTCAAGTTATTTGCGTTTAAAGATTACGATGCATCGATTTTATGAGTATTAGCGAAATCATGAGATTAAGTAGTTTATAATTTCTTTACATTTTATCATATTCTTATTTTATTATTTTCTCTTTACCTTAATTTAAAAATTGAAAGTACCCTTTCAGGGCTGTTACGGAATTTTACACTACCATTCGCTTTGGCATTAGAATGTGTGTAAGAGTACAAAAATTCAAGAAAAACGATTAACCAATATTCTTAAATATAAACAAAATACATTATTTTAATTTACCCTTTCGAGGACTGTAACTTCTTTGGGAAGCATTTTTGGGGCATACGTTCATAGCAACTTTTTGTCTTATTTTTATCTGCAGAATCAACCACCGAAATTAGATACACTATTTTTTTACACTCTGTATATCTAATGTTTGATACTAACGCAGCATTTTTTTAAACAAATTTTTATTTTTAAAATTTCAGTTTCAGTCTCGGTTTCAGTCACCAAAAACCCAGGATTTTTTTAAAGTATTTTTTTTTATTTCTCAAATTTTAAAAATAACACTGTAATATCAAATAAATTTTCTTTATAATAACTGTAACTCTTTACGTGTACCTTGTTAACTAATCCAGAATTTGCTCCTCCTAGCAAATAAACGGCATCCATACAAATGTCTTTCATGCTGGATCTGTTACATAGAGTTTTCAAAAACCTGTTGAGGATAAGGCCATTGGACATCGGAAGTTCGTACATATTTAGCATCGATGTGATACTCTATATAAAGAATATAAATCGTCAAAGCTCAGTAAAATTCGGAAATTTTATAAAAATTACAACATTAGGTAGTTATTTCGGCAAACTTCTCATAATATCACTATAGAGATAAGAAAACTAAAAAAATAACCGAATCTGTTGTAAATAAAAAGCTACTGAATTTTCAATCCAAGCAGACAAATTTAGATATGTCATTTCTTGTATACAGGGTGGCACATCTCGTATTCGCCTCGGTTGATTACACGAAAACAGAAAGATGTTGAAACAAAAGATGGCTGGTGTTACCATGACAATTTTTTAGCGACAGTTAGTAACTATTTTCAAAATCGAGATTAGTATATTAACATTATTATTTAGATTTAAAGGTGCCCGGTAGCGTAGAGGTACAGGCTCTCGTCTACCAATCTCAAGGTAGTGGGTTCGAATCCCACACCCGGCATTTCATCAGCCGACTATTTTTATTAAAATAAAAATAGTTTGGGTACCTAGGTCGGACTCAGCCTTAAATGAGTACTTGGAATTCACAATCTTGAGGTAATAATAGGCGGTTGAAGCGTAGGGCTAGCCACATTACCTTCCTTGTATACCGAACGGCTCTAGGTATGGCAAGCTGTACCTTGCTACTCCCAAGGCGTCAAACGCTATATACGGGAGCTATTATTATTATTATTATTTAGATTTATAACAGTTTACTTAAATTTACCTATAATCGTTTAATAAATAAGTATTCATTATTTTATAAAGAAAAATAATGAATAATTAATCTGCTGGCGGAACGAATGAATATGTTACTAGTGATTTTATTTTGTGAGGAAAATTGCTTCTCTGGCCTCAAGGATTTATGCAAAAGAATATTAAAATACTAGCGTGTACCAGCGATTTCGTTCGCGTCGAATTAATCATTTGTAATGGTGATGATAAAGCAAAGCAAGAATTTCCATTAACATACAAACTGGATAAAATTTCCTCACATTTATGTCAGCATGAAAAAAAAACAATATGGCGTTATCATTATATAACTTGGTAATATTTGAGGGGTAGTTTCATCTCGTTGGAATTTGACTTTCGAAAAATCCGTTTGCCAAAAATAAGCTTTTTACGTCAAGCAGTTTAAGCAGAATCGTGGTTAAGAAATTACCCAACTTTTTGGAACACCCTGTATGATTTTTTAAAAAATTTCAAAATATGTAAAAAACCAAATAAATTATGCTTGTCCAAGTGTTTTCCCGAAAGACTAACCGTTTTTTAAATAACAAATATTGTAATATTTCAGGGGCGTTTCACCCTCATGGAATTTGAGATTCAAGAAACCCCTCCTTATCGAACCTCTACACCCTACAGTTAATCCGTTTGCCAAAAATCAGCTTTAAACGTCAAGCAGTTTAAGTAGAATCGTGATTACTCAATGGTCATATTTTATGAAACACCCTGTATAAATTTATGAAAAATCTTAAAATATGTAAAACAACAAAATAAAATATACGTGTTTAAGAGTTTTTCCGAAAAAGTCACAGGTTTTAAATAAAAAATATTTTAATATTTGAGGGATAGTTTCACACATTAGAATTCGAGTTTCGAAAAATCCCTGCTTATCGAACCTCTACACCCTAAAGTCAATCTGTTTTCCAAAAATCAGCTTTTTACGTCAAGGGCTTTAAGCAGGACCGTGATTAATCCATGACCAGATTTTTCGAAACACCCTGTATACATTTTAAAAAAATCTTAAAATATGTAAAAAAACAAAATAAAATATACGTGTTTAAGCGTTTTTTCGGAAACTTGACTGTTTTTTAGATAAAAAATATTGTAATATTTGAGGGGTGGTTTCACCCTCTTGGAACTGGAATTTCGAAAAATCCCTTCTTATCGAACCTCTACACCATAGAATCAACCTGTATGCCAAAATTGAGCTTCTTACGTTGAGTGGTTTGAGCAGGATCGTGATTAATCAGTATGTCAGTCATTTAAGGATTTTATATTATATTAGTATAGATTCTTTGCTTATATGCTTAAATATTTCCAAATAGGAATCTCCCTGATAAGCGTTCCTTTGAAATATTACTTGTCCTATTTCGCAGAGCTGGTAGTATAGTATATGATAAACCTATTAGGCAGAAACCTGTCGTTGGAAGTGAAGAAAATTAATTTGCCTTTATTGGGTCTTTTATAGAAAATCCATATATCTACGGGTCATCGTAAAATAAATCAAAGAACTACTTCTTCGTTTTTCTAGATAGAATAATAAATACATATTTAATAAATATTATTTATTAAACTATTGAGGTAAATGAAAATAAATATTTTGAAAATAGCTACTAAGGTCACTATAAACTTGCCATGACGACATCAGCCCTCTTGGTTGCCATTTTATTGAACAATTTCCCTTTATTGAAATCGGAGCTAGATAGGTATAGAAAACCCTAATATAGTTTGAAAGATCATTTAAATCTGCTTCGATTAATTTAAAAAAAATACAGGGTGTTGGATTTGAAATAACGAAGTTTTTATGTAAAATAAATATTTAAAATAGACCAGTAATGTTTGATACCCCTGTATACATTAAACAAAGCAATCACATTTTCCAGTAAAGTTTATTTCTCTGGCTTAAATGTCAGCACAAAAATGAATTCTAAAAAGCAATGTTCATTTTTGTGACAACAATAATTGATATTTTTTTTGCACATGCATATTTAAATATCTTCAAATATCTCAAAAACCAAAGCTTGTAAACATGTTTAACCCTTATAATAAATGCCTTATTTTGTGTCCAAGGATCCAAATATTAAATAAAATACCGAAGAGAAGAAATAAGAAAATAAGAAAAAAAATATAATTTTGGTGTGTTTACAAACTTAGTACGCAGTTACAAACTTAGTCCTGACATAACTTCTACATTTCAAAATAATTTTAATTTTTTCTGCACATTGCCTTCCCTACATCTTTCCATTTCGTATAATCAACCGAGGCGAATGCATTGCGCTACCCTGATATTTGATATCTTTCACAGTGTCATTTTAATTAAACAGATCCAATATCTTCATCTTTAAGTGATTATTTTTGTGGAAATATATCTACAGTATGTCCCCCGGAATACATCAAATCCTCTATCTGACAAGAGGAAAAACTTTTTTATTATTGACATTTTGAGAAAACTGCATTCAAAATTTGCTTGTTGTAAAATGGTTAATCCCGTTTTAAGCATTTTTTTATAAAAAAATGCATTTTTTTCAAAATTTCGGTAATAAAATTTCCTTTTTTAAAGACAATCTGGTGATAGGTATATTGTAGAATAGTTATATACCGTGCTGGCAACTGTTATTTTTGGGTCGGCATTTACATGTGTAGAAGTAAATCGCATATGGATCGTGTTAAGTCGGAGTGAGAGAAATGCGACGGCGTGCTGTTGCGGCGTTGCCGGTACGCCTTTTCCTATCAAGTAAAGTAAAATCACGATCGCAAACCGCTTATATTTAAAAGACTTTTTTTTTGAAAAAATAACTAAATACAATAATTAGACATGTTTCTGAGCATCTGAAATGGAATTATAAGGATATCGTTAGGGTGTCATTTTTTTATAACGAGAAAACGTCAGTAATCGCGATAATTTAAAAACTCAACTTTTTAACACATAACACGCCATAACTCACGTGTGTTAAATTAGCACAACCACTTTAAAAAAAAATGTATGAAACTATGTGGAATAATTGCCGTAAATTAGCCGTAAATTTGCCGTGAAAATGAAAAATTTGCCGCTCTTCGCTAAGTATGTTAAATCGATGGTTGTGCTAAGTTAATATTAAGTTAGCACAACCACCATTGGAAATCAGTGAATGAACATAGTTAGAAATTTTATAGTATAGCAGGAATTTGCCGTTTTTTTGCCGTTCTTAGATACAATTAAAAAAAATATCCTCCGATCATTCTCTATCCCCCTGCAACAAAAAATATAATAGCGTCAAGGTCACATATTAAGTTAGCACAACCATTCCAGTAAACGTTAAGTAAAATGTCTGAAAGTAGGTGGAACAATTGCCGTAAATTAGCCGTAAATACACCATGCAAACGAAAAATTTGCCGCTATATTATTTGTTTACAAAATCGATAATTAACGTAAACAATAACGTTAAATTAGCGCGATTTTTCTTAAAATTCACTAAATGGGATCAATAATAACTTTTTAGTACAAAAGGAATATGCCGTGAATAAGCCGTGAAATCGAAAAATTTGCCGCTCTTTTATTTCTTTATAAAATCTACAGGGTGATTCAGGCTTCCGAAAAAGCTCTATGTTAGGTTTTTGGTTTCTGAATTTCATTTTATTTTTTTATATAATATGGGGGCAATGGTAAGGCACATTTTGAAAATATTTTTGTCAGCATACAGGGTGATTCAAACATATTTTCAAACCAAAGTTGCATATTTTTAAATGGGATACTATATATTTTTTTACCTCAGTGGATTTGCCACTAAATTTCTGTTTCAAAATACCCCAATTTCATATACTATACCTAATGGTTTTTGAAATATAACCGTTTTTAAACTAAATTTATTGCTTATTTAAAGAGTTCTCTGAAAATTCTAAATTCGAAGAATTTAAAAAAAAAATTAACAGGAAGTACTGAATAATAGTGTTTTCTTCAAAATTCAGTCTTCCAGAATTTGCAATCTTGTTTGATATATACAAGGTGAGTCAAAACTAAGTGTTGTATTTTCATCTACTATTTTAAACGGAACACCCTGTATTTTCGGTCATAATCGAAATAAAAGAGCGGTAATTTTTTTGATTTCACGGCTTGTTTACGGCATATTCCTGTTGTACTATAAAGTCATTATTGATACCATTTAGTGAATTTTAAGAAAAATCGCGCTAATTTAACGTTATCGATTACGTTAATTAAAAAAAATATCGATTTTATAAACAAATAATAGAGCGGCAAATTTTTCGATTGCATGGTGTATTTACGGCTAATTTACGGCAATTGTTCCACCTAATTTCAGGCGTTTTACTTAACGCTTACTGGAACGGTTGTGCTAACTTAATATATGACCTTGACGCTATTACATTTTTTGTTGCAGGGGGATAAATAATTTTCTTATTGAATATCGATTTTCGGCATTAATAAAACAAAAAGATTAAACAACACCTTGTTCAATTATGATACAAAATACAGGGTGTTCCATTTAAAATAGTAGATAAAAATACAAAATTTAGTTTTTACTCGCTCTGTATATATCAAACAATATTACAAATTTTGGTAGACCGAATTTTGAAGAAGACATTATTATACAGTACTTCCCGTTAAACTTTTTTAAAATTCTTCGCATTTATAATTTTCAGACGGCTTTAAATAAGCAGTAAATTTAGTTTAAAAACGGTTATATTTCAAAAACCATTAGGTATAGTATATGAAATTGGGGTATTTTGAAAGAGAAATTTAGTGGCAAATCCACTGAACTAAAAAAATATATATAGCATTCCATTTAAAAATATACAACTTTGGTTTGAAAATATGTTTGAATCACCCTGTATGCTGACAAAAATATTTTCAAAATATGCGTTACCATTGCCCCCATATTATATAAAAAAATAAAATGAAATTCATAAACCAAAAACCTAACATAGAGCTTTTTCGGAAGCCTGAATCACCCTGTAGATTTTATAAAGAAATAAAAGAGCGGCAAATTTTTCGATTTCATGGCTTATTTACGGCATATTCCTTTTGTACTAAAAAGTTATTATTGATCCCATTTAGTGAATTTTAAGAAAAATCGCGCTAATTTAACGTTATTGTTTACGTTAATTATCGATTTTGTAAACAAATAATAGAGCGGCAAATTTTTCGTTTGCATGGTGTATTTACGGTTAATTTACGGCAATTGTTCCACCTACTTTCAGACATTTTCTTAACGTTTACTGGAATGGTTGTGCTAACTTAATATGTGACCTTGACGCTATTACATTTTCTGTTGCAGGGGGATAGAGAATGGTCGGAGGATATTTTTTTTAATTGTATCTAAGAACGGCAAAAAACGGCAAATTCCTGCTATACTATAAAATTCCTAACTATGTTCTTTCACTGATTTCCAATGGTGGTTGTGCTAACTTAATATTAACTTAGCACAATCATCGATTTAACATACTTAGCGAAGAGCGGCAAATTTTTCGTTTTCACGGCAAATTTACGGCTAATTTATGGCAATTATTTCACATAGTTCCATACATTTTTTTTAAAGTGGTTGTGCTAACTTAACACACGTCCATAACTCCAGAACCACTTTAGATATTGAAACGTTTTTTATTTTGAAGATCGGATCCTTTACAATATGTTTACATAAGGAAAATTCGATAAGATTATTTTATGCCATTCAAAAATTGTAGTGAACCCATCCATTTACTTTTAGAGCATTTCAATTTTCAGCAATCGTGTAATTTTTTTATTGATTTTAAGAATTATTTAAATTTCGGCGCCCAAAACTAGGTTGGCAACTCTAGTAACTTTTAGAAGAAAATGTTGTTAGATAAGAATTATGGGTATAGTTAGTTGTTATGGTTAGTTGTTATTATTAATAAATAAGAAAAATTGTCGCTCCCCCTTTTAACAATCCGCTACGAAAAAAATACAGCAGAAATATTAAGAAAGTTTTTGAAAAAACTACAATCAATTATCTGTGATTTCGAAATATCGATTTTTGAATTCAGAGTTCTTTTCCAACAACCACTGTTGAACACCAACTCAATTCCACTTATTCTTACCAAAAATGCAAGTGTTTCTAGCTTGCACTTAAATTTTTTCAAGCTATAGGGAAAATTACAACGACTTGTTAATAAATAAAGAAATACCGTATCACGAGACGTAATTAAATCGTAAAGCTGAACGCATGATGTACACTTTTCCCTAGAACTTTAAGTACTGACAGAGGTACTGATACTGATTGGGATTGGGTCGACCGGTCAACTGCGACAAATCTGCTATATTCACTTCCACGTCTCTTAGCAACGTGCACACTTTCTCGGTTTATTTAATACGTTTGGCAAAGTGTTTACTGTTCTGTCTTTGTTCAGTACATTATGAACGCATTGTACTCTTCTTACATACGGAAATCTCGACCCAAGACAAACATTTACCAGCCCTTAGTATAATATTAACATTATAATATATTTACCTCTCCTAATCTTCTTAATTTTGACCCTAAACTAAGAATTGGACTGGAGGTATGCTGAAGGTAAGCAGAAGGTGCCAACAGAGTTGCCGCCTTGACTTTCTGGTTCATTTCCGGGTGTTCCGCTAACATAACCATCAAAATCGTGGTTCCTTGAGAGTGTCCCACATAGAACAAGCCGTCTTTACCGGTGACTCTTAAAATGTAATTGACTGTATCGACCAAGTCTATTGTTGCTATTTCATGCCAACTAAAATAAATAAATAATGAAAACGTAATTGAAAAACAGGTAGATTCCGATAATATGGAGATATACAGGGTATCCCAATATTCCGTGGACATAGAACTACTACGTATTTTTGGTTTGGTAACGAATATAGTAAATATATTTAAGAACAAAGGAAGTGCATCAGATTGCGGAAACTACCGAGGAATTGCACTACTGGTTATCGGAGGTAAAGTTCTCGCAAAAATTATGTCAAACCGCCTGCACCCACATATAGAAAAAATCCTCCCAGCATCGCAAACGGGCTTTCGCACCAACCGCGGTACCGTTGATTCCATATTTTCCGTCCGCCAACTACAGGAAAAAGTAAAGGAACAGCAGAGTAAACTTTATGTTGCATTCATCGACCTAACAAAAGCCTTCGACTCTGTAAACAGAGATGCACTTTGGGCAATTATGCAAAAGTTCGGAGTGCCCAACAAATTTCTTAGTGTGTGTAAAAGCCACCATAATAATAACAAGTCGAGAGTGTCACATCATGGATCACTGAGCGATCCCTTCCTGACAAATACAGGAGTTAGGCAGGGATATATTCTAGCTCCTCTCCTATTCAACATATTCATTGCAGCGCTCTCTATTATAGTGGACAGCAAACTGCAGGAGAGAGGAATGGGTGTTAGATATAGGTATGACGGCGGTCTGTTCAACATAAAAAGACTCAGGGCAAAAATACGTATAAAATTCATCACAGAACTCCAATAAGCTGATGACTGCGCTCTAGTTGCAAATACATTACAGCAGTTACAGGAAATGCTGAACACATACCTGGGCATACGAGACTTTGGGCCTTAAACTGAACATCGATGAAACAAAAATCATGTGCACTCCCCCGGAAAATCATAACAGCGCTATAAAAATCGGAGTAGAACTATTGGACTATGTATCGGAATTTAATTACCTCGGCTGTTTGATTTCGGAAAAGGCAAATATCGACTCTGAAATTCAGCACAGAATCAGTAGCGCCTCAAGAGCATTCTGGAAATTAAAAGACAGGGTTTTCTACAATCATGACTTGAGCACAAAAACGAAACTTGCAGTGTATCGAGCAGTAATAATGCCCACCATGTTATATGGAAGCGAAACCTGGGTGCCGTACCGCCGGCACACGAGCGCATTAAACAAGTTGCAACAGAGACACCTTAGAAAACTTTTAAGAATCAAATGGTACCACCATGTCTCAAACGTATCAGTCCTTAAAAAAGCAAGCTGACGCGAGAGCGCTGAAGTCATGATTACTAAATCTCGCTTAAGATGGGCTGGCCACGTATGCAGGATGCAAGAAAACCGCCTACCGAAATCTCTTCTTTACGGTGAACTTATAGAGGGTAAGAGGAAACCGGGTGGACAACTCAAAAGATACAAGGATGTTGTTCATGAAAACTTAAAGGGGATAAGTATGCAGCATCAGTATGCAGCATCAGGAGGAAGCAGCGCACAATAGAACGAAATGGAGGAGAATTGTAAATTCAGTTAATAACGACAACCAAAAAGTAAAGAGGCAACAAAGTAATGAGATTTTTGAATGTCCGGAGTGCGGAAGAGAGATAACATCACGTATCGGGCTTTTCACTCACAGAAAAGCTCATGACAGTAAACGCCTTGCGTAACCATCTTTTGATGCGTGTCAAATACTGGTCAGCGAGTAATGGCAGTAAGTAAGTAAGTACGTATTTTTAGAAAATAAGTTCATTGGACACAATTTACCTCTATACAAAAGTGCTTTGGTTTGCTTAGGTTGTCGGCTAAAGGGCATGAAACACATTTTTTCAGATATTTTAAAAACCGTTTTTCCGATTGGAATGAGATTTTGGGTATCTATGTTTTACTCGATGTTTTACAAAGTGCTTTAACATTTGACTGTTACAAAAATCAAGAAAAAGTATGGGAAGGGTCAAAACTACCCCCACCCTTACAAACATTTTAATATAAATATTTTACAACTCCACCAAACGCCAAATGTCTTTTCGTAAAATGGGCCCCTCTATATATATAGTATTTACTATATTTTTGGTCTCTTGAAGAAAAAAAACGCCACCGTGCATACTTTTTGAGGAAAAAATTATTTTTCCACAGTTGACTTATAAAAAATGTTTTTTTGTCACATCGATCTATGGAGGCGCAAAAAATTTATTATGCTCGATTATTAGAGCATAATACATTTTTTTTTAGTAAGCGAAAATATGGAATTTTATGTTAGTATCACAAATTATATTTGGTAATAAGCTTCATAAAAAGCTTAAAAAAATATTTTTAAATTAATTAACATTCGGGTTTATTTTTGTTATTCTTCTAACGGACAAACGAAGCACGTTACTTTTGTATAAAGGTAAATTGTGTGCAATTAACTTATTTTGATCCAAAAAATACGTAGTTGTTCTATGTCAACGGAATATCACAACTCCCTGTATATTTTGTAGATCAGCTTTGGAAAAATCAATTCTCCAATTTTTTTTTTCTCAAAAACTATGCGATGTAGCGCTTTTCTACAAGAGATAAAAAAAATCTGTAGTCGGTGTAATTGGAAAATTTTTATACTAAAATTTATGTAGGGGTAGGTGTAGTTTTTACCCTTCCCGTACTTGTTATTGATTTTTGTGAAAGTCAAATGTTAAAGCACTTAGCAAAACATAGACAACTAAAATCGTATTCAAATCGGAATAACGGTTCTTAAAACATCGGAAAAAATGTGTTGTTTCCAAAAATACGAAGTTGTTCTATGTCCACGGAATATTGGGACACCCTGTATGTCTATAAAGTAACAAAATATATCAATACCCCAGATATATATTTACCTAAAATTCCAAAATTGCTTTCTGTTTCTGTCTGGACTCAGAGACTTGTGTTTTCTGGAATGTAATGATCCTCTGGCATTGAAAAACCATACATCAAATCCTCTATCTGATAGATAATATGCTAAACCATCAGGAGGTCCTAAATAAACAGGATTGTTATATTTATAATTAATTACATTTGTGCAGTTTGTATATCTGCATACAGGGTGGCGCCTCTCAATTGCAGTGTGCATTCACCAATTAATAGAATCGGTAATTATTGGGAAAACTGAAAATCGTCAGATTTTCACCAAAATTGGTATACACCCTATTTTGAGGTCGTAGATTACGAATCTGAACATTTTTCTTGGCGGTCTCTTACGGTTTTTCAGAAAAACGGAAAATTATTTCAACATCGAATTTTTCTTAATTTCTCATATTTTTAAGGTTTTCTAGCACATATTTTGTTAGGTATTCAATAAATAATGATGTTATTGCTATTTTCTGTTACTTTTTTCACCAATTCTATGCATAATAGAGGAAAATTTGCTAAAATAAATTTGTTAACAATATGAAAATGTTGTGTTATGTGTTTCTGGCATTTAAAGCAACGTTGCCAATGCTAAACCTAAATTTAGCGTGTTTTTTCGCTCATTCTGGGATTACAAAAGGCGGTCGCCAGAAGAATGGCTCCTTCCCATAATTGCTATTTTACCTACGAGATCTGACTATTTATAACCACGAAGTTGCACGAAAGAGTTTTGATTGCATTGGTTACAACTTGCATGCGGAGGGTGTTAATCTTTTGTTATATTATATCAAAGAAGTTCCCTCCGCAAAGAAGTTAAAACCAATGCAATCAAAACTCTTTTGTGCAACTTCGTGGTTATAAATAGTCTTTATACAATTTCTTTGTGGAGGGGGTTAATATTTTTTTGATATAATATAACAACAAAAGATTAACATCCTCCGCATGGAAGTTGTAACCAATGCAATCAAAACTCTTTCGTGCAACTTGGTGGCTATAAATATAATATAACAACAAAAGATTAACACCCTCCGCATGGAAGTTGTAACCAATGCAATCAAAAATCTTTCGTGTAACTTGGTGGTTATAAATATAATATAACAAAAAAAAAAAGATTAACCCCTTCCGCATAGAAGTTGAAACCAATGCAATCAAAACTCTTTCGCGTAACTTTGTGGATATAGGTAGGTATATTTAATTATTGTCGATCTCATAATAGGTCATTTATTTAAAATCCCTAATCACCCGAAAAGATAGAAGACATGGCAACGTTGTAAATTTTCAAATTTCTAGATTAGGTCTAGAATATATTTGTCTCTCATTATATAGGAGAGAGAAAGAAGGATATATCAAATGTCAAACTTCCATCTGGTCTCAATTTTCTTTGTTATTTTGTTAAGAAAAGTGTTTTTCAGTAACATTTTTCTATCCCAATCAAGTGTGGCTTTTAGATAAACTATAATATAATGAAAATATAGTGAAATTATTACTTTATAGGGCCGAAATAAAGAAAAATTCAATGTTGAAATAATTTTCCGTTTTTCTGAAAAACGGTAAGAGACCGCCAAGAAAAAAGTTCAGATTCGTAATCTACGACCTCAAAATAGGGTGTATACCAATTTTGGTGAAAATCGGACGATTTCCAGTTTTCCCAATAATTACCATAGAATAATTAAATGCTCCTGATTTTATTTAGTCTGTTTTTTTATGGAGATATGTTAAAGACAGTGTTTACAAAACTCGACCAACTAATGTCCACAACATGAGAGAAATTATTGTAGCTGCTTTTCGAGATAGAACTCCACATATGCCTTTTAAAATGAAAAGATCCTTTTGAAAAGACAGCAGACTTTTTTATGCAGTTAACAGGAAAGGAAGCATTTTGAGCATTTGATTTCATCTAGCTAATTTTTGTCACATAATTATTGGTTTATATCTAGTTTTAATTCTGTAATAATTAAAATATGTTTTAAACGTGTATCTTTTTATGACCGTTGATTATTTTACTCTATAATCTTTAATTTTTTTAAATTAACAAAAGGTATAGCACACAGCCACCCTAGATTTTTTCAAATAATAAAGATCTACTGACGCAAAATCTTAACAATTAAAATATCTGAGAAAATCTTTGTCTGAGGGGTAGGCAACCTTAATAATATTTTGAAGATATATAGATTCCCCATTGAACACCGGAAAATATACTGGATGTTCCATTTAAAATAGAGGAGTAACTTGCTTTTAAATGTGACTAATGTTCCATATTAATTTGGTCTCACCCTGTATAACTTTTCGGGTCAAATTTCAATTTGGTTTAACATACAATGGTTACTGTAGGTAATTAAATATCAGGCTATACAAGGTCAACTAAAATTTAGGTAGTTGTTATCGAAATTTAACATATACTCTTCATTTTCACAAAATGTGAAATATGTCAAAATCCTTAGATTTTAGGTATATGCTTCTTTAATAAAACTCATCTTTATTTTTTTTTCTAGAATCCAAAAATTAATTTATACATAGGGTGTTCCATGAGAAAAAACATAACTTTGATATGTACCTTTTTTGGGGGACACCCTGTATAATTCTATATATTTTTATAAAATGCTTTCAGGTAACCTACATACGCTGGCGAAATTTCATTTCGATATAAACTACAGTTCTCTTTGGAGCTTCCGCGGCGTATGAGAGGCGCCACCCTGTACAGCTAGGGTGAGTCTTAAATAATTTCAAATCTTTTTAGGGGTAATATATTTCAACACCAGAAACACGTATATGGGGTTGTTTTAGAGAATTTTTTTTTTAATTTTTATAAATATTTTTAGTTTTCCGTGAAAAAGAATAATTTCTTGATAATATGGCAGCATAGGGAGTAGATTAAATTTACAAGAAAGAAAACCCCATAAAAGAAAGAAATTTAAGCAAAAATCTTTTTTTTTCTAATTTTAAAAGTAAAATAAGTCGGTTATTTATTTTGACTTCTTATTTGAAAAACGGTAAAGAGAAAATGTATTTCTTTTATGGAAAACTACTAGCCCTGAAAATATTTGCACTTATTTAAGACTCACCCTGTATAATAAACTTATACTTATAAAAGTTTGTTATTCTTCTATTTGTTTTTAATCTTTTTAAATAGTTCTTATTATGAATTAGTCTATGTTCTCAAACACGCCAAATAATGAACTTATTATTAACTTTATAATACTTAAACATTACCTACATTAAAAAAGAGAACAGAAATAAAATAAATACCTAATAGAATAAAGTTTTCTCCACTGCCACCCATTCCATGACCCAGAAGTACCACTTCCCTCGGTTGTGTACCATCTGCACCATGAGGTATTCTTTGTGCTTTCAAAATATACCCATCTGATGTTTCTATCACGTGCTCCTCCGCGGGGTAGTTGTATTTCTTTAAAATTTGCAACTAGAGTTTTAAAAGAATAAAGAATCATGAAAAATTAAGTTAAGAATTGTTACTAAGTACTCACGAAAGTTTCAGAGTAAACATAGTTACACAAGAAAATAAGGATTAAATACGTATTAATATACATGGTTACCGGTTCATTTTTTATAATTTTTTTAGTCTATTCGCTAAGAAAATCTATTTGACACTAATTTTCTATGATATAAAAATGTTTTTTTATAATTTTCAATCATGGAGGGAGAAATAACTGCTTCCGCATTGTATTATGTAATTACATGCACTAACTATCAACAATAAAATAAAATTGTTTATCGTATTATACACCGACTATTTGATACATTACAAAATATAATTTCTGTTTACTCTGGTCAGATTTTTCTTATAAACAAGTAATTTAGCAATTTTCGAGTTAGCTAGTTATCCATTATAATTACAGATGTTTTGAAATAAATAAAATTTATCTATCTCATTTTTTGAAAAATAAATATGAAAAACTTGTTTTAGTACACCTAGTATTTATTATAGTACTCCATTTAGAGCTAATTATATTTGTAACGCTTTCTAATATAATAATTATTACTATTTATAACACAGTTCAAAATTGTTTTAATAGGTATGATCTACAGTATGACCCTGGATTGTCTGTTTACCGGATTACCGGATTAGAAGACCAACAACTTTTTTATTATTGACATTTTGAGAAAAATGCATTTTACATAATAATTTTTGCTTGTTCTAAAATGGTTAATTCCGTTTATATACATTTTCAAATTTCCATACCGTTTAGTCCTAAAAATCAAATAGCGTTTCTATGATAATATCATTTTGATTTCATTCTTTGATAGGTGGTCCTTATTAATTTTGATTAACGTCATATTTTTTGCTATTGTTAAAGAGTATCACATTTTCCGATAACTATTAACATCCTTTCCGTAGCATTGAAATAATAAATTTTGTGCTTCTTATTAAGTGTAACTTTTTAGTGCCCTATCTCTATTACTATTTATTTTAGAAAAAGAAATGATTGAAGGTAAACTATTCTAAAATTCTCTACAAAAGACATATCTTTAGTATTTTCGAAAAAAGTTATGCAAACGGGGATATTTAAAAAAAAAGAAAATATTCAAGATGGCAGCGGTTTTGTTCAAACTTCCCAAACTGGGACCGAATGGGATTTTTGAGGGGTTAAATAGGAGATCATTATCTACATATTCCCATTGAGATTAGTTGGTTACTATCTTTTTTTACTTTTACACTCGCCTTTACATAAATACTGCGCTGCGTTTACTGGCCTACTAGGTGTTAGTTCTGCAATTATCTTACATTAAAATTTCAAATGCCACTATAGCGCCGTTTAATTTTCAAATCATATATGTGCCGAAATCATATGATCGATATCGAATGATTCGTATGATCGAAAAAAAAGGCATCCAGTTGGCTTGGAAATGACGATCGATGACATTCTGAGTATATTTTTACATATAAAATGACAGCGATCTTCATTTCATAGCCATCGCCGACGCCGTTTTTTTTTCGGCAAGTAATCATAAAGTAATATTTTATATTACTTTAATATTCATGAACCAATTAAAGCAACTTTTCTAATTAATACGACATATAATTATTAAGTCGTCAAAGACAAAACTAATCATTTTGGTTACCTAATCTTCATTAATATTCTAATTTTTCAATTATCTACATATAATTATTCTTTATTATTTTTAAATTGTTATGGTGCATCCAAGGAAGTCATTAGTAGGTTTATCCGAATATATTTTCTGTTTATTATTATTTTTTAATGTTTTTATAGTTTATAGGAGATTCCTGTATTTAGGAGAAGTAGATATTGCAGGGTAGATACAATAGTGAACTAGTAAAGAACCCCTAAGACAATAAAACCTCTGAGATGAGTTCAATTACGGTAGCTAGCAGTTTTACGCACCGATTTTGCTAGCGGTGACACAACTGGGGCTTTTTCGGTTCTAACGATTTTTGTTAAAAGAACATAATTATAATTTTAGAAGACGTTCATAGAAAATGTAAGCACTTTACAAAAAGCATTAAACAAAAAAAAATAAACACCCGGTACAAAAATGACGATTTCGCTTGTGTGATATAAGATATATCATTACTGAATTCCAAATTAACGTAAGATAAAATTTTCCGACACTGACACATTGACAAATTACGGTACTCGTGTCAATCAAGCGTAAAATAACAACAGGAAAAATTAAACACATATATCCCGTTTTATTCCATGCTGTCACTTAAAAATTATTCCTATAATAAGCGCTGAGCTAAAAATCTGATAAACAGTAATTGTCTATTGGATGAAGTCTTGTTTGTTACTTCATTTTACTACTATTTAGTAAAATTGTAGTAAATAATTATCCATATATGTTCTCGAAAACAACAAAAATGAACAATAAACACATAAAACGAAATATCGGAAAAAATATTTTTTGTTTCTGAACCCAATCCGTTTCTTGGCAAATTTTATTTTTCTAACATGTTTCTTAACATTTAAAGTTTTTACGCTTTTCTTTTGGTTAGGTGAATTTGTTCACGCGTCACTGAGAAGTTTAAATCTGCCAAGTTTCAAACTCAACGGCATTTTCAAAAAAGATAAAGTCGTACGTTTAAATTGCTGTTCAATAACAAATACAGTGTTACTTCGATAATCCGAATCCACGCTAATGATGATAATAAAACTTGACAGGAAAAGATCTACAGCTCTACACAGGGTCTGAATAATCTGTATTATTTAATAGCCAGAGGATTTGTCCTGCAGATTTGGCCTGCATACCTGGTCTTTTGTGTTTATATGGCGGACCACGTCTGTGGCAGACCAAGCCTGTGGCTAAGCAAGCCTGTCACAGGCCAGATCCACAGATTTTCAGTCAGATTACATTGGTCTAAAAAATAAACCAAGGATAAAATCGGCAGACTTGTGCCCTTTCTTTCTAAGTTTTTAAGTTTAAGCGAAAGTTTTTATTTCGAAAAACATTTATGTATATAAAAAAAGTCACAAAATTTCTTTTCAATACAAACTGTCGTTTTCCTTAGAGCCTCAGCTTCGTATAAGATGCGCCCTCCTGTATGTTACAGTAAAAGCCAGAATTTGGTAAATATTTAAATGTTTTTTGTTTCAAACAACTAGTAAAAGTTCACAATCACTAATTTGCTAATACTAGATCTTAATCGATAATATGAACAAGGTCTGACAATTAGTTGTTCGAATTAACGATATTGCCCTGTATATGCTAGGTTAGTTTTTAAATCTGCTGGCTCTAAACGGAGTTAAGAAGAAGATACAACTACATTTACAGTTAATAAATACTAATTTCCAGTTTTTTTTCGGTGTATTCTTTGACTAAATTGATAGTTTGTTTGAAAATGATGTATTTTTCCCAAACCCGTGTAATCAGAAAATATAATTATTAACATTTTAAGGCTTTTTAGAAAAATATCGTTCTTTTCATTATGCCAAATGAGATGAACTGAGAAATATAGAATATCGAAGAATCAAAACTGGGAAACAGCGTGGCGCAAAATTTCAATAAGAAAGGTAATTGACAGAAATAATGGATATGGCGGTAATGAATTATCTTAACGCTATAGGGAGGGAGGCTGCGCTCCACCGCTACGTTGCCGGTTACTCTTTGCTCTTTCTCTATACAGGGTGTAAATGAAGAAGTGCAAGAAAAAATTGAAGGTTGATTTTTATGTATATAAAATTAGTTTTTAGTATAAAATCTGTCGATCTAGCGTTTCTTTAAAAATTTATTATGGTTGTAGCCTTACAACACATCAGACGTGGGGCTGACATGATTTAGTTGAATGACGAAAACATGAAGAAAACAATGTATTCTTATAAAGCCGTTTGGCCGATTAGATTTGATTGCGTATATGTGCAGCTTTATATAAACATATATGTTACACTCCTGCAACATGTTTGTGTAAATTCAAATCGGACATTATGTTGTTCAAACACGGAAAAAAATCCAGCAGAAAATTTTGTTACAAAATTGTAGCACAGTAGTAGATGTATTATCAACTGATATAAATGTTTCTGCTGTTACTTAGCTAAATCAAAAATTCAGGTTTTATTAGCAGTTAGTCTTATATATTTGTAATCAAGCTCTTGCAACAATCATCGCAAAACAAAGAATATTACAATTATAGCATTATTCACAACATTTTTTTGCGTGTATTTTGTTTTAGTTTGCCCTAAATAAAAGGGAGAAATCCATATAAAATACACTTAATGAAATAATACAAATATAGATATACATAGTTTTGGGAAAGTTTTTTTATAACTACCGTATTTCAAAAGAGGCTCAGGATAAAAAAAATAAAATTTGGTAAGTATGTATATACAGGTGGCCCAAACTGTATTCCGGAAGCTTTGGCTGCATATTCTGCAGCAAAATAAAAACACTAAATCACCACAATACACCTGAGTTTATAATCATCTGCTGATGATGCTAACATGGTTAGCGAAACGCGCGTCCAGTGTAAAAGTAAAAGTGTTTTGGTGTATTGTGGTGATTTAGTGTTTTTATTTTGCTGTGTAACACCAAAGGTTCCAACCCTCAACTGTAATATTCTGCAGATAAAAATAAGTAAAAAAGTTTGTATAAATTGTATGTCCTAAATTGCTAGTTTCGGAGATACAGGGTTAAGGAGTTTTATTCTTATTTCGATTTTTTTCCAATAACTTCTGAAGTAATGTTAATATTTGGATGAAAATTGGCGTTTGGGAGTTTCTTGACAAGAGAAATTTGATTTTGATGTGAATATGACTCCTATTTGTAGGGGGCGCCACCTACATGTATTTTAACTGTTTTGAAGAGTAATAACCTTTCGTCCATACCTGTATAAAACTACTGAGTCAAAAAATATACACTTTCGTGATTTTTTACGTAAAAAATGTATCTTGATAAAAATCGCTATGAGCAATCTTTCTCAAGATATTTAGTATGGAAAAAAAAATAGTCAATACACATTACTCATGTCATTATTGACAAAAAATGAACATGTTGAGTAGATAGTTATTTGACTAAAATGATAAATTTAGGGAACTTTTAATTTTTTTTAAATTAATCATAAATTTTTCTTCGAATAAATGATGATAAAATAGTTTCTGTTAAACTTTTGACACAAAATCATTTCAAATTTATTATTTTAATCTAATAACTATTTAGTTAACATGTTTAATTTATGCCAATGATAGGTGATGCCCTCTACAAGTAGGAG